GAAAAACATTTAATTTGAGCATTCTAGATTAATCCTGAACGTAGAATTCCTTAATTTTGCAGGGCGTAGAGTGTGAGGAGGAAATGTTCTTAATCACCAAGGTCTATGTGTTGGGATTGTGCCTTGAATCCCATATTGCTTGGGAATGGGAGTTGCAAGGGGATCCCTTTAAAGTATCTCAAAAAGTGTAAAATAGACACCAAAAAAATAGTCATTGTGGACTGTTATTAAGGGTGTAATTGAGCTTTTTGAGATAATGTAAGGAGTTTGCAATTTTTCTCTTCTAAAAATTGTATAGTTGTAAGCTTTTGCTTAGTGGATTGTTTGAGTGGATAGTGGACATAGGCTAAATTGATTGGACCGAACCACTTTAAAATTCTTGTGTTTGGTCTACTTTATTTTTAGTTGCTTGCTTTAATTTGTGTTTGAGTTGTGGCAATCTTTTTCAACAAGTGGTATCAGAGCCCATAGTTCGTGATCTAGGAGAAGGCAAGCAACTAGAAGGCAAGCTGGAGAGGAGGTTGGATTTAAGAGTAGATCGAAAACTGCCAAACATCTCAAATTTTCTAGAGGTATGTTTAAGTTTGAGGTTTCTTTATTTGATGACAAAATTAATTTTATGTTATGGCAAAGTACGATACAAGACCTTTTGGAACAACAAGGTCTTGATCAGACATTAGAAGAGAGTAAGCCAGAGAAGATGACTGATAGAGAATGGAATAGAATTCAAAGGAGAGCTATCAGTACAATCAGATTGACTTTAGCTCCAGAGATAAAGTACAGCGTGCTGACTGAGTCTACACCAAAAGGTTTGTGGAAGAAATTGGAGGGTATTTACGCATCAAATTCGTTGACTAACAGACTGTGTTTGAAGATGGATCTGTACTCTCTGAAGATGGATGAAGGTACGAGTCTCCATGATTATTTAAATGAATTTAATAGGCTAGTATCTCAATTATTGGCTATTTCTGATGAGTTCAAGGATGAAAAAAGGCATTGATATTGTTGTCATCTTTGCCTAAATATTATAGACCTTAGTTCAAACTTGTTGGTAGGTAGATTTACCTTAAAATTAGATGACAGACTGCCTTGTTGCATGAGAATGAAAGGTTTATGGGACAAAGAACTTATCACTTAAAGGAGATTACTAGTTGCAGAAGGCCTAGTTAGTAAATACGGGTACGGCAAAAAAAGGGTACGGGAATTTACGGGTATAATCGGCAAATGGTGGAAAATACGTTTATAAAAAAATTGGCATAAAATTCGGATACGGGAAAATAGGTACGGGTATACGGGTTTAATACGGTGATGTAATAATACGTTTTGAAAATACGGCAATATCAATCTTAGTTTTAACACTTTTATGGACTACCTGGTTAAAATCAATATAACATTTCAAATGCAAAGTATTCAATTAACCAATAACACAAATGCACAATATATATCCTACTGATTGACGTTTTATTAAAGGATTTTTTTCCTTTTTAGGCAACTCTCTAATTTCACAGTGAAATAAGAAGAAAATGTTACTAGAATCAGTATTGAGTATAATATTGTTCTATTGGGTATCCAATTATGTGAACAATGTGTCAAATATGGATTAAAGAGATTGATAGAGAACAGTGTGCAACAAATATCATAGAGGCATACATTACCAAACATATATTATTCTATTCTTTTATAGTATAGGGTTTTTATGGTAACAGGGCAAGTACATGTCAATACATAAAGTGAACTGAATTGGCACAAATGCATAGATGTACACTCCACTAATATCAACAACATTGAGTTATCAAAGGTTGAGGTTAATGGGATTTGAACTTGTGAATTGTTGTCTGTGCTTAATTAATTATTTTGGTTAATTAGTTCCAGGTGGTTCAGCAACTAAGATAGTGGAGAAAACAACTCATTCAAGAATGGATTGTCACCTAAAGAAGGTGAAAACTAAAAAGTAAGTTTTCATGTTTGAAATGCCATTTTCTTAATTTAGTTTGTTTTTCTTGGCTCTTATTGGTGAATTGATTACACATAATAAAAGGTGTGATTTCAGGTGAAACAAACACATAAAGCAATTGAAAAGAGATCAAATTGCAGATATGTAGTGGTGAATGAGAAAAATACTGTGAGTATAATTTGGGGAATTGCTGGTGATTATTAAAGGGTTATGTTAACTGCATTTAATTTATTTTTTTTGTTGTATCAGTTGATTAATGATCTGAACTTTGCAGCCTATCATTAGAGGTAATCAAGGCAAAACCAGAGCACCCGAGTAAGATAAAAATGGCAAGAGCAAAAAAAGAAAACCGAACTGAGGAAAGCTGAAAACGTGAAGAACTGAGGAAGAAAAGCTGAAGAAGAACGAACTGAGGAAGAAGAAGAACCGAACTGAGGAAGAAGAACTGAAGAAGGAGAGATCTGTTTTAATTTTAGTAAAACCCACTAAAACGACGTCGTTTTGGGGGTGAGATTTTGTTTTTGTTTTTCAATAATTGCGAATAGTTCGCGAATTATTCGGGAATTATACGGGAAGCCTTATTATACGCGAATTATACGACATATTTTACAAATACATGTACGTGCATTTTATACGCGAATTGTATGGTGTCCGTACAATTCGATATAATACGCGTTTTTACTAACAGGGTAGAAGGTTATAATCGAGGGAGGACTCAAGAGAGAGGTGATAAATCAAAAGTCAGAGTATAGTAATGAGTGTTATATTGTTGAGAGACGGGACAATCCAACTAGGGATGATGACGGGTAACGGGTAGAACCGGAACCTGCGGGTAGAATCGGAAAGCGAAACCGGAATCGAAAACGGCATTGTGCGGGTAGGTGCCAGTTCCATTTTATTGGAACCGACACTGTGCGGTTCTGGTTTTAGTGTGTGAGGAATGGGAACCAGAACCAGAACTTGAAAAAAGAACCTGAAACGGGTACCCAGTTTGGAACTTGCTTAGAACCCATAGTAGGTATCCGATTGGAACCGACTTTTGAAACCTGTTTGGAATTATTTTGGAAACTGTTTGGAACTAGCTCCAATGAAATATTTGTGAATAATGGGGGGTTTCATTATTTTACCTAAAAAATTTGAAATAGAAAAAGTTAAATTTGAATAACCTAATTAATAAAATATACAACGATACTTATTACATATAAACTACACCATATAAAAATTTTAATATATTATATAATTATATAAAGTTTTGATTATTAAGTGTATAATTAGAATTAGGATCCAATTAAAAGTGTTTTAATGTTATTAAAAGAATCATTTTTGAATAAAATAGTATATTTCATTTAATCATAATATTTAGTTATTACTTCAATTATCAAGTTTAGTATACCATAATAAATTAGCAAATAGTATAATAGTTGTTATTTTTTTTAAAATCTAGGTAACTGAATATATTATTAATACAATTTTTTTCTATATATTTATAATTTAAAAAAAAAATCTGACCTTCAAAGGGGCTAGATGCGCCCTGCTTGTAGGGTATTTAGTAGGGAAGTTAGACAATGAGGGTCCCACTGGAGATTAGTCGAGAAGTTAGACAATGATGTGTACAAAGTTGATTCCTAAGTTTTCCCATGTAATATTATAAACAATTTTCACACAATAAAATTTCCAGTGAGGTTTCCAGGATAAATTAAATAGATATCGATTAAGAATATTACATACAAAGTTAAGAATCTGAAGCATGTCTGGAATGCATAAATATATAATATATATATATATTATATATATTATATATATATATTACTATATATATATATTTTGACATTTACAAACATTGTAAACGAGCTAATACAATAACATAAACTTTTAATTGGAACAATTTATTACATTGTCTTCAAACTATTTACTCAGAATGAGAAACACTGCATCACACCAGGAATATCCTGAAGCACCATAAAAATTTCAATCGAGTCCAATGATCTAAGGGGGCATTTGGTTGGAGGTAATGGAAGATTATTAGGGTTATGTCATCTTATATTTACTTGATTACTATGTTTGATTGTTAAATAATATAAGATACCGATAATCTTGTATTACCAATAGTTGTTACTGTTGATAATATTGAAGGTAATCTGATTACTTTCATTTTCTTAGATATTGTAAGATTACCTTAATAATCTTATTTTTATTATAATTCTATCTCTTATTAATAAAAATTTTGGATAATAATATCCCTGTTTTATAATAAATTTACATTAATAACCATTTCAATTTAACCCTTGTTTAATTAAGTTTTTGGACAATAATGCCCTTATATTTAAAACAAATTATAGACCACCACCGTCACCCAGCCACCACTAATGACAGTGGGCCAACCACCACGGACTGCCGCTGGAGTCCCTAAAAATGATCAAGATTCCCTGGGAGGCTCCGGGAGGCTTCGATATGGCCGTTTTCGACCATATTGATGGATGAAAATGGCCATAGCAGGCCAGATCTGGGCGAGATCTAGCCGTTAACGGTCATATCTTACCTAGATCTGGCCGATAATGGCTAGGGACTTGGCCGTTAACGGCCAGATTTGGCCTGATATGGCTGTTTTCGGCCATCAATATGGCTAGAAATGGCCATATCAGAGCCTCGTAGTCATGGTGAGCTACTCATGACAACTTTCGGAGACTTTCGACAATGGTTTGCAATGGTGGCAGGCGGCAGCAAAGGGTGGGGGTGATTTTGCCATAAATTAAAGTTTTATATAAGCGGGGATGCTTTAGCTAAATCTGAAATATTGGGGGTTAAAAGAATTATTCAAAAATTAATAATAAAAATAATATTATATTAATATTTAAAATGAGGGTAATTTAATAACTTAAATAACATACCCAACAATTTATTCCCCCTAACCAAACATATCAATATAACATATCCACCAACTAACCAAATATATTTTTCTAAAGATTTCGAATAATTTTTAAGGTAATATAAGATTATAGTAATCTAACATTCCCAATAATTCAACATTTCCTATACCAAACGTACCCTAAAAAGTATCTTGATCACAGCGCTCTGGGTAAAACTGGATTGCACCGAGGTTTCCATTATGAATAACGCGCTTATTTTGCTGATGAACTGCTCCCAGAATATTGTCTTTATAACCCTTCGGACTTGCAGTCAATCCCACACAGAAAAAACCTGCAGAACTAAAATTCACGATGACATGTTCGCCGGCGACTATCCAGTCTCCCCCTACGAAATGGTAAGTCATCGTCGGATATTGCTTAAAATCTGCTGTTTGGTTGTAACAAAGGTCGAAACCAAGTCCGGTTCCATTCACTTGCACGAGACCGAATGAATCAAAGTAAGCCTGGAATTCTAGCAACACATAATGTAAAACATTGGGATGGCGATCAGTAGAATCCGCGACAAGCTGAGTAATTGGAGTCCCTGGATCGATGAAGATCCCGGAATTGTTCGGAAGGAAGATTTCTGGAGGAAATCCTATCCTGCTTTCTCCAACACTTATATCATTCAAAGTCAAGTAATAATTATAATTCTCTTCCATGATATAGTATCGGACTGTTGAAATTGGTCGATTTGGTATATGAACATCCTTGCCAAACCTCAGAATACTCGGATGCTGCAGCATTGGAGAGAAAGGAACAATGCAATAAGAGAAAACATTCTGCATCACATTCGACAACTGGCCGAACAGCGATTCTGGAGATAAGCTTAATCCCATAACACCAGAAATGATTCCATCTCTTTCGAACTGCGGGAAATTTTGGTTATCATTGGAGCAGCCGAACACCACGCCGGGGACGGTTAAATTGCCGCCTTTATTATCAGTTTGGAAGGTAAATGATTCCCGCGATAAGATACCGTTTGTAGAGCCACCTTCATCGTAGTGAGCTTTGTAGACACATTCATCATTTACACATTCGAAACCGGAGCTTTTTGAACAATATGGATCTTCACAAGAAACCTTGCTGTAAGATTTGGAAGCTTGAGAATTGTACATGGGAAGTTGTTGATGGTAACAATTTTTGCAGGGCTGACACTGCATCCAAATTAAGCTACTGGTAGTGTCTATAACTAGATACACTGTCACATTCGCTGGTTCTGATCCGATCGAAAACTCGCCAATGTAGTAGAACGTATCACGATACAGAGGGGTTACAAATTTTCTGTCGTTGAACGATGAAGAATTGGCTGTATTTGAATGCAATCGTCCTTGTGTACCTCTACCATTAAAGTAATTAATAAATCTCTCTCTTTCGAGCTCCGTGAGGTTTCCAGGATTTAGAGGGGAGCCCGGATAGTCCCTTGGGATGAGCCTGAGGCGGAATCCTGAAGGATTCGGAGCAGCGAAACTGAGTTCAGGAAGAATAAATAGTGAAAGAAACACAGTCGCTGCTCTGAGGTATCCGATTCCTGCCATTTTAATGAAAAAAAGGAACTAAAGTCTCAGAAGCATTTGTTGTACCTCCATTTTTATTATGGTTTTGAGAGTTTTTTGGTGCTGAAGATAGTAAAAAGAAATCAGTTATTAATCAATGTCTCTCTTTTAATTAGGACATTGGTATTTATCTATACACATATTAATTAAGAAAAAAGAACAAATTATTAACTACCTAGAATTTTCTATTAATAAATATATGCATATTAATTAAGAAATTTATATATACAAAAATTTAATTCAACAATTTCTAAATGACATTTTCATCTTCACTTTTTTTTTTTTTTTTTTTTGGTGACAATTATAACATAATAAAATCCATAAATTTTAGATGATTTTCTTGACAATATATTTTCATATTCGACTTTTTTTTAATACTTTTCAAGTTTTCTTCCATATCTTGATTTCCATATATAAAAATTGTTTATTATTAAAAAAAAACAAAAAAGGCCATAATTTCTCAATATGTGATTATGAACTTGTTTTTTTTTTTTTTTTTTTTTTCTTTTTTTAAATATGAAAGAGTTTATATTTAATCAAAGGATTATATTATGCTACTAAAATAATATTATCACGATATTATAGATAACCCTTTATCAAATTTATGATAATTTTTAATATATATATTGTATAATTAAATACTCAACATTAACCAATTATAAATATAAATACGATTAAAAATTAAGTTTAAAAAAAAAAAAATCAATGATGATCCAACGATGATAAGAGATGTTGAATTGGCATTAAATACACTTACCTTTAACTACTCTCTTATCACCGTTGGATTAACGATAATGAACGGCTTTCATGAAGTATCCAAAATTAAGTTAAAAAAAAATTTTTTTTCATTATATATATATTTTTTTTTTATTTTTTTTTTTTTTTTTTTACTTAAAATGGTGATTTAACTTTTCATCCTTTGATTTGAAACAATCTCATGATTGGTGAATAAGAAGTTATAACTTATAAGTAGTTATTTTACTTGTCACGTCGTTATTATGATTTTATAAATGGTTATGAATAAGTGTCTCAAATTAAGTTAAAATATATGACAATTATATCCTCACTGGGCTAAAATCACTTCATATATTCAAGGGGGAGTCCATAAATTTATCTCTTTAATTAATTTTCCTCGTCTAGAAAGGGTGAGAAAGCCAGCGGCGGTTAAACATGATGCACCTACTATGGAGACAACAAGGGCAAATGCATAGACAAGATTTGGAAACTTGAAATAGTATTGGATCTTCTTCAAACCTTTGTCGATAAAAGGAGCCAACGCCGCTCCTGACACTCGAAAAGGCCTGCTGATGTTGTTCCCAGTCAACATCAAGATAACAATGTGAGGATTTTTCAGAGAGAATGCTAGGAAAAGATCAGAAACGGAGTGACTATGCATATCATCTTATGTTGGAAAAAGAAAAAACCAAAACGAAGTTGACCATGATCAAAGAATATTTATGATTGAGTGGATTTGAGAAACCCTGTGTGTCACTGCTGTTAAAACGTAATTTAGCTAATTGCTAACAAAGTGAAACTTTAAATATATAGAGATGTTTCTTCTGTTGAGGATAAGTGAGCCAGCATGTATGACTTTGAAAAACTAGAGCTTTCAAGCGACAAATATCGAAAGTGAAGCATTTCGTATCTTACCCCCTAAAAGTGCTTCTAGGACAGTGGCAGGGTTCTTGCCGGTACTGCTCTCATAGCCGAGGAATGCCAGGAGAAAGAAACTGATATATGTAACACCATCAAACAACTCAGAAGCTAGCACTGCAGCAAGCCCAAGCTTTGCAAGCTTTGAATTGATTTCAGCTCAATTAGCCTGATGAAAACATAAAGAAAGATTCAAATACTATATAGGTTCTCTACAACAAAACTTAATTTCACCAAAGTTTGGCCATTCCCTTTTTTACCATTTTGGAGACAATTCCCAAAATCTCTGGGAATCTGCCATATTTTTCAACCAGTATTAAATGCTTTCAAAGTCTCAAATACTCACAAAAAATATCCCAATTGAAATATCATAATCATAAAATAAATAAAAAATGCAATTTTAAAAAATTATTTGACACAATAGAAACTTAAATGAATCAATCTGAATTTTTTTTCTTGGTGTGTCAAGAAAATTCCTTGCAGGTTTGGAGGTACTTGAAGGTGGTGGTAGAGCCAAAAAGGAGTATTTATCTATCAAGTACTGTACCTACTAAGCCAAACTGCAAAGTTCGATGCAGTTCATCTCCTCTTGGTCTTCTAAAACTAAAATTTCTGTTATTCATTTTTCTGGTTCACTATTGATGCTGCCAAGAGTTATTACTAAGTAACTTTTCATTTTCTTTTCTCCACCCTTGAGATTACAGACTTGAATAACATATCAAAGTCAATTGAATAGCACTTCTTATCCTTTACTGCCTCATCTCCCAAATGACGTTTTAAAGAGTGAATAAGGAACATCAGCAAAAAACCATAAAACTCAGATTCTTCTTTACAATTTAAAAGGATTCTGCATGCCGATGACCGATAGTGTAGTTCTCCATTACCTCTCCAACTACAAATGCTTGTACCTGGTCCCGCTTTGAACCCAACTGTAACCAGGATTTTCTTTGCCCCTCTCACTTCATCAATTCCCTAATCCTTTGCCTCATCCCATTTCCCGCTTCAGCATACATGTTTGAAAGAAGAATATAATACCCACAATGCTCAGTGTTCAACTTAAACAGATGCTCGGCTGCCCAGACCCCAACTCTATATTACCATGGATTCGGCATGCCCCAAGCAAAGCACCCCAAACATTGGCATCCGGTATGATGGGTAAATTTTTTATAAGTTCCCTGCATCTTCCATAAGCCAGCTCGTCCAAGAGATCAACCATACAAGCATAGTGCATTGTGTGGCTTAATATTCTGAGCTGCATTTCCTCAAAGTATTTCCTCCCCCTCTCAACAAACCTCCATGGCTACAGCCGCAACAACTGCAAATATAGAAACTAATCATATCTCACTCCATCTTCCCTCATGTTTTCGAAGAGATTGATAGCAATGTCCAACTCACCAGCATTCCATAACCCAAATCATAGTATTCCAAGAGGCTGCATCCTTATTTGGAATCCGCTCAAGATCTTATCAGCTATATCAATTCGACCACATCTGGAATAAAAGCCCAAAAGTGAATTAGCAACAAAAAGTGTGCGTGAAAAAGGTTTCTCATTACAACTCCATGGATCTCTTTCCCTTGCTTGATTGCAGCTAGATTTGCACAAGCTGATATAGCACCCACAAAGGAAACCACATCATGCATCATACCGATGAGACCCATTTCTGAGAATAAACTCAAAGATTTGAGCATCACTAGTTTCAGCATAGCTTGCTATTAATATATTATAAGATATTTCATCCCGAAGATATGTCAAAAACACTTTGAGCCAGATCTAGGCAGCCACTTTTGCATACATATCTGTCAGAGATTGGTGACAAACAGATCAAAGTTGAACCCCTACGGATGGTAACTGCATGGATCTCTTTTCCTGGACGAAGGAAACCAACTCGTGCACAAGCTGGCAGAACATTTGTCAAAGTGACAGAGTTAGGAATCTTGTTATGGACTGGCATTGCCCTTACTAGCTCTAGAGCTGCTAACTGAAGCCCTTGAGTAAAATTAGCAATCATGGCATTCCAAGTAACAACATTCTTTACAGGCATATAGTGAAACACCAGGACGCTTCAGATGGATGGCCTGATTTTGCGTACATGTCAATCAATGAGTTGCAACAAATACATCAGAGTCAATGCCCATTCTTAAACTGAACCCGTGGATTTCCTTTCCTGAACTGAATAATTAATTCAACCAACACAGTAAAATACTAGATATGGCAATAGGGTTTGGTGTCAGCCCTGTACAAATCATCAGCCTAAACATATTTAAAGCATCCTTGTTACACCCTGTATGAGCAAGACTAGCGATAATGGCATTCCAAGAAACTTCATTCTCTCTGCCATTCATCAAAAACTTTCTTTGAAGCCATCAATTTCCACATTTCCCATACACATCAACCAGTGCATTATTATAGTCACCTGAACTCTAACCCAATTTTTACAGCATAACAATGAATCTGCTTTACCATCCTCATTTGCAAGGCTCCCCAAACTGGCAAAATACTAACAACACTAACTGATTTGGTTTAAACACAGACCTTAAAATCTATCGCAATATAAATCAAGCGCCTCCACGGGACACCCATTACCGAAAATACCCCTATAATTGTATTCCAGGATACAATATCTCTCTCACGCATTTCATCAAACACACTCTTAACATTTTCCAAAAGCCCACATTACCATAAAACAACAATAGGTATTACCACAAAGACATCCGTTTCAAAACCAAGTTTGAATAGACGCCCATGCATCTCCATACCCTTTTGAAGTTCCAAATATCGGCACACGTCTTTAGAACAAAAGGAAAGGTATGATCATCAAGCGAAACTCCGGTCCTAACCATTCATTGTAGGTAACAAAACCATCATGAACACGGGCAACGATAGAGCCCGAATGAAAGTGTTCCCCAGGAATGCATGTGGGCAATAAGTAAAGTTGTTCAAAGAGAAGGAAACAGGCATTGGGTTCTTGAAATGCGGCATAGCGGAGGATCAAAGAGGCACAAAGAGAACACTTCTAGGAAGAAAACCATTGAGGAGTGCAAAGGCATGGGTTTGTTTAATTTGGTGGTAAGACTTGGAGTTTGAGGCAATTGTGAGGAGATTAACATGTGTGTGGTTGGTTGGTGAATGATAGGTACATTGACGTCTTTTCGACAGCATGTTATTGCATACAATTCTTGAGGCTACTGATGTATATGCACATGAAGAGTTTTAGTGCATTGTTCGTAACAACATCGAAAGATAGCAAAGGCCTTTTGGAGTTTGAATATCGCTAGTATTTTTCTTTGTTATAGGATTAGAATATATAATTTCCTATTCAGACATAAGG